TTGGATAGATGCATCTCCTGCTTGGCAGGACCCACATCCTGCTTGGAAGCAGGGCAGGATGGTGACCTGCTGGTGCATGTGGCATCTCAGAGCCATGCTGTGTGATGGGCTGGGGGCTTTGGCCTTGGGCTTGTGCTGGAGGAGCTGCTTGAACCAGGATGGGGATGCGCAAGGTGCCAGCAAGCCTCAGGTCAGCTCTGCTCAGGCTCCGCGCCCCCCTGTGCCCCCCAGCACCTGGTCTGGTCCCTCTCCCTCCTCCACAAGCAGCTCCTACGCTCCCGTTCCCAGGCCAGGCTGGTTTTCCCTTTGCTCAGCACTTGCTGCCTTTCCGGAATGGGATGTTGCTGGAGGATGAGGGAAAGCACGTGGGGGGCCTGGAGCTAGAGCAGTGCTTTGTGTTCCCCTTTCCATGCTTCCCTTTGCTGCTCCAACTGATCCTGGCAACAGCAGCTATAAATATAGATGCTTTCTGCCTTTCCTCCCAGACCTGCACATCCCACCCTTCTCCTTGGCTCCCGTGGGAGGAGAGAGAAGCCTTTACATAGAAAGGGTTTAACTGAAGCAGTCTGGAAGCGTTTGGGATGTGCTGATTACACACTGTGACCTACATGAGCCATGCAGGGGGTTGGGAACAGTGGGATGGCAGCTTGCAAAAGGCCTGGAGCACGTCTGAGAGCTTGAAATGGCCTCAAGCTTCCCCTTTTTTGGGACATCTGCAATGAGTTTCTGTTTGAGGCTTCCTCTCTGTGCTGGGGCAGCTTCCTGCTTCCTTCCCCCTGCAGACATCCCCTGGCACAGCATCACGGGTGGCAGATCCTGGGGTGATGCTGGATGTGCTTTGGGGATGCTGGAAGCAGGCACTGGATGGTGCTGGACCCGTAGGGTGGAAGAGGGAAGAATGGAGGTGGATTCTGTAGCTGAACCTGCAGCTTGTGTCTTCAGCTGCTCTGAGCTGCCCTGCTTGGGTTGTGTTGGAGCAAGCCTGGCTCCCAAGTGGCTGGGGCTGAGGTGTCCAACAGGAGCAGTGGCAGGGGAGGGGGGCAGAAGGTGATGGGTGGAAATCAGGGAACCCCAGCCTGGTTTGGGTGGGAAGGGAGCTTAAACCCCATCCAGCTCCAACCCCTGCCACGAGCAGGGACCCCTTCCACTGGAGCAGCTTGCTCCAAGCCCCTGTGTCCAACCTGGCCTTGAACACTGCCAGGGATGGGGCAGCCACAGCTTCTCTGGGCACCCTGTGCCAGCGCCTCAGCACCCTCACAGGGAAGAGCTTCTGCCTAAGAGCTCAGCTCAGTCTCCCCTCGGGCAGGTTCAAGCCATTCCCCTTGGCCTGTCCCTACAGGCCCTTGTCCCAAGCCCCTCTCCAGCTTTCCTGCAGCCCCTTTAGGCACTGGAGCTGCTCTAAGGTCTCCCCTTCAGGAGCCTTCTCTTCTCCAGGCTGACCCAGCCCAGCTCTCTCAGCCTGGCTCCAGAGCAGAGCTGCTCCAGCCCTCGCAGCATCTCCATGGCCTCCTCTGGCCTCGCTCCAGCAGCTCCACCATCACCCACCAGTGTGGGTGGCTTGTCCTGGATGTCCTGTGCAGTGAGGAGCCGGACCCAAGCTGGTGGCACCTCCTCAAGAGAGGCCCCAAACACCTCTGGGAATTGGGTCCCTGCACTCCTGGGTGCTGGACATGGTGGCAGAGGTTCCTGTATCTCCCCATGCTTCTTGCTACCACCACCTCTTCCACTGGTTATTACTATAACCCAGCTCAGTTCAGAGCAGCTGGGCTGAGCTGGAGCTGTGAAGCCCATGGTGGCTATTGCAGACCTGGAAAAGGCTTTGTATGAGCAAAACCTGTTTGATTTTGATCACGTCCTCCTCCAAGACTTGGGCTTGGGTGGCTCCACTCCAGAATCCCACCCAGGGCTTCCCCCTGGGGGCAATTCATGGAAGAAACATGGACAAGTGAGGGATATGGGATAATGGCAAAAAGATGCTGCAGGAGTTTGTGTTTAGCCAGGACTTGAAACCAGCCCCAGTCCCAGGCTCCTGCTGCGTCCCAGCTGAGGCCGTGCTGGCACCTCCTGTTTCCAGTGATTCAGTCAGAAACACCCAACATGGAACAACTGAATCCTCCCAAACACCCATAAACTTAGAGCACAGCCTAAATATAGCTCCGTGCCCTGTTTGAGGTGGTGTCCTGCCTGCTGGCAGCTAAAACAGCTCCTCAACCCAGTGCCAGCAGCAGCAGGGGCTGTGCCTTCAGCACACACTGTTTGGAGCAGGTTTTCCAGCTCCTTCTTTCAAAGGCATCAGATTCACCTTAATGACCACGACTTAACTGATGGGAGGTGCAGGGAGTGAATCCATGGGGGCTGAGCTCCTGGGGGCTGTTCCATCTCCTCATCCTCAGCAGCTCCGCTCTTTCCTTGCGTTAATCCCCCCGGATTCTCCCTCTTGATGACACAGATCTGAAACCCGTTGCGAGATTCCCTCTCCTCATCCCCAGCCGAATGATTCAGCTCCTGCATCCCTGCTTTAGCCCTTCCCTCTTGAACCCCATCCAGGTCTTGCATCAAGCTGAACAATGTTGGAGCTGATGTGCTGTGGCCGCAGCCTGTTCCAGGCAGCCCTTTCCCTACGGCTGCTCCGGGAAGTGTCCGTCTGACTCACCTGCTCCCGCTTCCCGACTGCTCCCTGGCACTGGATCAGCCTCACTGGGAGCCTTTGTGCTGCTGGGGCTTGCTGGAAGGAGTTAATGCTGCTTTTCTTCCCCATGGATTTTATCCCGCGGGTCTGGATGTGTCCAAGCGTGAAGCTGAGCACTGACAGTGGAGGGGGCGGCGGGATAAGCAAGTGGAAGAATCATAGAATAGCTTGGGTTGGAACGGACCTTAAGATCACGCAGTTCCAACCCCCTGCCATGGTCAGGGACACCTCACACTAAACCATATCACCCAAGGCTCTGTCCAACCTGGCCTTGAACACTGCCAGGGATGGAGCATTCACAACCTCCCTGGGCAACCCATTCCAGTGCCTCACCACCCTCACAGTAAAGAACTTCTTCCTTAGACCCAATCTAAACTTCCCCTGTTTCAGTTTGAACCCGTTACCCCTTGTCCTCTCACTACAGTCCCTAATGAAGAGTCCCTCCCCAGCATCCCTAGGGTGATGACAGCCTTCCAGTGCTTAAAAGGGCTTCAGGAGACCGGGAGAGGGGCTTTGGACAAGGGCCTGCAGGGATGAGCTTTAAGGTCCCTTCCAATCCACACCATTCCCTGATGTACCCCCATGTCCGTGCCCTCCTGCGTTCCAATGGCACCTCAGTTACATGCTGAAGGACCTGGGTGCTTCCAGCTGTGCCCACGTTATCTACCCAGGCATCCAGCAAGGAAGGAAGGGTTGGTGCCTGTTCCCAAGGCAGGGTGCAGGCTCCTCAGGTTTTCCATCTCCTCCCTTTGTCCAGGATGTGGTCTCTCCCCCAGCACTGACTGGGAAGCCTCTGGAGGCCATGACCGGTGTTTTCCCCTCTCCATGGGGGTTTCAGTGTGCTCACACCCACCTCCACCCCTCACGTTTTCCTGCCCTGGGTGTTCTCTTTCCACTGACTTTCATTAGGGACTGTAGTGATAGGACAAGGGGTAATGGGTTAAAACTGAAACAAGGGAAGTTTAGATTGGATATAAGGAGGAAATTCTTTCCTGTTAGGGTGGTGAGGCACTGGAATGGGTGCCCAGGGAGGCTGTGAATGCTCCATCCCTGACAGTGTTCAAGGCCAGGTTGGACGAGGCCTTGGGTGCCATGGTTTAGAGCGAGGTGTCCCTGCCCATGGCAGGGGGGTTGGAACTGGATGATCTTAAGGTCCTTTCCAGCCCTAACTCTTCTATGATTCTATGACTTTGCTTTCCAGTGGCTGTAGAACACTGCTGGGGTTTGTCTTTCTTAGGAACTCATTGGGTAATCCAGGTCTGGAAGGTTCTTCTGCCCCTCATTGCTGTGTGTTTCACCCGTGAAACACAGCAGGGAGAAACGGGGGCTGTCCTGAACCTGCAGACTTCCCTGTGCCTTGTCAAGGGGAACGTTCATGCTTGGAGCAGGGGGATCAGAGCTGCAGGGACAGGAGCTGCGCTGGAGACCTCCCCGTCCTGCTGCAGCCACCCTGGGAAGTGATGCTTGGAACCAGGGCACAAGGATGGAGCATCCCGTGGGAGGAGAAGGGAGTGAGGGCACTGGGTTGGTGACGGCTCTGGGGAGGAAATGGTTTCCTCATGGCCTGGGTCTTGTTCTTCCCTGTATGAATGTGGTACCGTGGGGAAATGGAGAAGTAAAAGGTTCATAAGGTCCCCATGACCCGGCTTCAGTGAGCACCTGAGCCCAGAGCCCCCCCTGTGCTGGGTGCACCCCTAGAGCGTGAGCAGCAGCTCAGGGAGGGGATCCTGCCCCTCTGCTGTGCTCTGGGGAGACCCCCCCTGCAGCCCTGATCCAGCTCTGGGGCAGCAGCACAAGAGGGACCTGGAGCTGTTGGAGCGAGGCCAGAGGAGGCCATGGAGATGCTGCGAGGGCTGGAGCAGCTCTGCTCTGGAGCCAGGCTGAGAGAGCTGGGCTGGGGCAGCCTGGAGAAGAGAAGGCTCCTGAAGGGGAGACCTTAGAGCAGCTCCAGTGCCTAAAGGGGCTGCAGGAAAGCTGGAGAGGGGCTTGGGACAAGGGCCTGTAGGGACAGGCCAAGGGGAATGGCTTGAACCTGCCCGAGGGGAGACTGAGCTGAGCTCTTAGGCAGAAGCTCTTCCCTGTGAGGGTGCTGAGGCGCTGGCACAGGGTGCCCAGAGAAGCTGTGGCTGCCCCATCCCTGGCAGTGCTCAAGGCCAGGTTGGACACAGGGGCTTGGAGCAAGCTGCTCCAGTGGAAGGGGTCCCTGCCCGTGGCAGGGGTTGGAGCTGGATGGGATTTAAGCTCCCTTCCCAAACCAGTCTGGATTCAGTGATTCTAAGGGCCTTCCCTTTTCTCTCCTCTCTGGCTCCAGGTGGCACAAGCTCCACTCCAAGGCTGGGAAGAAGGAGAAGGAACGTGGTGAGATCCTGGTGTGCATCCAGTTCACACGGCACAACATCACAGCCAGCATGTTCGACCTGTCCATGAAGGACAAGCCCCGGTCCCCCTTTGGCAAGCTGAAGGACAAGGTGAAAGGCAAGAAGAAATACGACTTGGAGTCAGCCTCTGCCATCATCCCCAGCAGCATGGGCGGCCTGGATGTGGAGGATGACTATGACATTGGGGGCAAGAAATCCAAAGTGAAGGGCTTCTTCCTGAAGAACAAGCTCCGCAAGTCATCCTTGACTCAGTCCAACACCTCCCTGGGGTCCGACAGCACCATCTCCTCTGCCAGCCTGGGGCTGGCCTCGAATGTCCCGGAGGTATCCAGATCCCCCAGCAGACACAGCAGTGTGTCCATGGAGCGCTCTGGTAAGAGGATAATGGGTTTCATTCCTTCTGCCCCTCTTTATTCCCCCTTTTCTTTTCTTTGTGAGGGACTCTGGAGGCTTTCCTGCAAGTCTCTTAGCTCATTGCTTATCTGCATCCTGCACAAACCCTCTGAGATCTGTGGATCTCCCCTCGGGTGCCAGAGAGGGACCCTTCATCAGGGGCTGTAGTGATAGGACAAGGGGTGATGGGTTCAAACTGAAACAGGGGAAGTTTAAATTGGATATAAGGAAGAAGTTCTTTACTGTGAGGGTGCTGAGGCGCTGGCACAGGGTGCGCAGAGAAGCTGTGGCTGCCCCATCCCTGGCAGTGCTCAAGGCCAGGTTGGACACAGGGGCTTGGAGCAAGCTGCTCCAGTGGAAGGGGTCCCTGCCCGTGGCAGGGGTTGGAGCTGGAGGAGCTTTAAGGTCCCTTCCAACCCAACCCATTCCCTGATTCTGTGGTCCTCTGCATGCTGGCAGCATTGTGCTTGCCAGAACAGGGGAGGGCATCTGAGATGTTGCTTTTCATACTCTGTGAACGACCTGACTCGGGTTGATGCCACATTGTCCCTGCAGCTCGCCACGAGCTCGTGGGCTCTGAGGGTTCTTTAGGACCTTTTCCTCTCTGCCTCCTAAAAGCAGGTCAGAGCAATAAGCCCCTGGGGAGGGCATGGTGCTGCTGCTGCTTGTCTGCTGGGACACCTCAGGCCTGAGGCAGAACCTTGGCAGTGACTGGCTCCTGGTGTTAAAGCTCTTGGTGCCCGGGCAGCTGCGATTTGCAAACAAAAAGGGTCCTTGTGGGGAATTAATTCTTGCTTGGAAGCAATGTGCAGTGCTCTGGTTTAATTGGCTGGAGACAGCAAATCCCCACGGTGGAGGGAGACCCCGGTGCTGCTCCTCACTGTGCTGGTGAAGCCCCACAGGTGATGCTGCTTGGTTTGTGCTGCACAGTGGAGGCACCGCTCTGGCCCCAGCATCCTCATGTTGTGATGAAGGGGAGTTTCCTGCTGGAGGGAGAGTGGCTGTGGGGCACATGGAGCCCAGCATCATCACCAGGCTCTTCCCCCGAGCCTGCTGAGTGCTGCAGGAGCCACAGAGTCAGGCAGGGGAGGGAGGAGCAGGCACTGGGCAGTCCAGGCTTGTATCAGGCAGGGTACAGGAGCAGAGCTCAGGGGCTCCGCACCTTTCATTCAGTGCAAACTCTTAAATCACTTGGAAGCAAAACCCCCTCAGGCATGGACTCACTGAATGGGTTGGGTTGGAAGGGAGCTTAAACCTCCTCCAGCTCCAACCCCTGCCATGGGCAGGGACCCCTTCCACTGGAGCAGCTTGCTCCAAGCCCCTGTGTCCAACCTGGCCTTGAGCACTGCCAGGGATGGGGCAGCCACAGCTTCTCTGGGCACCCTGTGCCAGCGCCTCAGCACCCTCACAGGGAAGAGCTTCTGCCTAAGAGCTCAGCTCAGTCTCCCCTCGGGCAGGTTCAAGCCATTCCCCTTGGCCTGGCCCTTAAGCAGCCTCTGGGCACCTTCTTGCATGCGTTATCCCCCTCGGATCCTCTCAGACAAGGGATTTGCTGTCTTACAGAGGCTCCTCTCTGCATCCAGCAGTGGGAGGTGATGTCCGGGGGAGGGCATTGCCCAACCTGTGCAGCCGCATACCTGTGACCCGGGCTTTGCATTGATGCAGTGGGAGGTGTCAGCTCCCAGCTCTGCAGTGTTTGCAAGGGGAGGATGAGGATGTGCATCCTGCCCGGGCCTGTTACTCAGGTGGCCTCACCTCCGTCTTGTGTTTGATTCCCCCGCAGTGAAGGACTTGTTGCCATCCCCGAAGCCCACCCACAAGAGAGCATTCAGTGACGATGTCTCCCAGGTGAGCCCGGTCCTGGAGCCCAAAGCCATCCAAAGCCTGAAGCCAAAGAACGACCCCGTGTCCCGCTCTTCCCTCTGCATCAACGGGAGCCACGTTTACAGCGACGAGCCCGCACCAAAGAGCCCCGCGTGTGTCCCGCAGAGCTCCGGCGTTCCCAAGCAGCACCAGGAGGGCTCTGGCTTTGCTCCCGTCCATGCCGAGCCCCAGGAGGTGCCTTGGGGGGTCAGCAGCTTTGAGAGGACCCAGCAGAGAGACGAGCCCAGGTTCATCCCCTCTCCTCCCAGCTTGGCCCTGCAGGAGGAGCTCAGGGTCTCCACAAAAGCTGTCACCCTCAGTAACCACCTGGGCAGAGCCAGGATGGAGGAGAGCAGTCGTATGGAGAACAAACCCACCCAGGCTGCAGCTCCCATGGTCTTCTCCACGGACACAGCGAAGGACAAGCAAGCTGAGGACACCAAGAAGGAAGAGAAGAGAGCAAAGGGAGGCCTCTTCCACCACGGGGGCAATAAGAACGACACCGGGAGCAAGGGGCAAGGGGAGAAAGTGGGGTCTTCCCATGGCTCGTCCATCATCCACACAGGAGGAGATGAGAGGAGTAAGAGCAGCAGCTGGTTTGGTTCAAAGGAGTCTCCTCAGAAACCCAGGTCAGTGAAATGGGGGTGGTGATGCCTGGGTCAGGAGCTGGGTGTCCCAGTGTCCTGTCTTCAACACTGAGCTGGTAAATGGGCTCCAGCAGCAGCAGGGGACTGGTCCCCAGTGCTCAGGCAGGTGATGGTGGGGAAATGCTTCTTGGTCTTGAATGTCTCAAGGGGAGGGTGATTTTCCTGGATCCTTCCCTGGCTTCTGCCACAAACCAACCCCATTGGTCCTGCTGGGCTTTGTTTCCCAGTTGGGAATGGGAGGGATCCCCTTCATGGAGAGGGAATTGTTTACCTGTGCAGAGAGAGGCTCAGTGTGGTCATTCCAAGTGTTTCTGTGGCCTCAAAGTAAAGGATCATTACCCTTTATCTAGAAGAGCTTCCCTGACACACAATACAGGATGTGGGGCACAGTGGCACAGAATGACATTTATCAGCCTCCCACCCCTCTGTTTCTGGTCCAGTTTGGGGGTGTAGTACACTGGTACCTTAAAATGAAGTAACTAATCCCATCTCTGCTCCTTCCTCTTCCCATCCCACCCCAACCTGCCCTTCTCCCTGGTGGGAATCTCTGATTGTTCCTGCTTTGTGTGGTGATTCATCTCTTCCCAAATCCTCAGCGCTGGGTTCATGGCACACAAACCGTGGTGCTGTTTCTGTGTGGCGTTTGTCATGGTGATGGGTCACCAGTGTCCATCCCCATAGCTCCTGGGCGAGACTGAGCCCAGTGTGGTGGTGTCATTGCTCCCTGAGAGGGAGGAAAGGGGTTAAAGCAGCCAGAGAAAAGAACCAACAGTTCTGAGCTGGTTGAATCTCCAGGGTTGATTTATTATGGGATTTTCCTAATCTGGGCTGACTTGAACCTCATTTCTGAAGCAGAAGGGGTTTAATTCAGTCTGAGCCTCCTTTCATGAGCAGGGCACTCATGGTTTATCCAACGCAGCCACATGGCCACAGGTTCAGCTGCTTTGCAAGTGCTGCTCAGACCTGAGGGAGGGCGAGCACATGGCTCAGTGGGGCTTGAGAGCAGGGCAGCACCTAAAGCGTTGTCTTCTCTACCGTATCCTGGCCTGCATCCAAAGGAGCGTGACCAGCAGGGCGAAGGAGGTGATCCTGTCCCTTTATTCTGCTCTCTTGAGACCCCACCTGCAGCATTGTGTGCAGTTCTGGTGTCCTCAACATAAAAAGGACATGGATCTGTTGGAACAAGTCCAGAGGAGGCCACGAGGATGATCAGGGACTGGAGCACCTCCTGTATGGAGATAGGCTGAGAAAGTTGGGGCTGTTCAGCCTGGGGAAGAGAAGGCTGCATGGATACCTCAGAGCAGCTTCCAGTATCTGAAGGGGGGCTATAGGGATGCTGGGGATGGACTCTTCATTAGGGACTGTAGTGACAGGACAAGGGGTAACGGGCTCAAACTTAAACAGGGGAAGTTTAGATTGGCTCTAAGGAAGAAGTTCTTTACTGTGAGGGTGGTGAGGCACTGGAATGGGTTGCCCAAGGAGGTTGTGAATGCTCCATCCCTGGCAGTGTTGAAGGCCAGGTTGGACGAGGCCTTGGGTGAGATGGTTTAGTGTGAGGTGTCCCTGCCCATGGCAGGGGGGTTGGAGCTTGATGATCTTAAGGTCCTTTCCAACCCTAACTATTCTATGATTCTATGATTCCCACCCCACAGGATGATGTTGTGCTCGTAGGGGGGGGCCTTTAAAGCCAAAGGGTGACAAGGACTTGCTGCCACCCCCTTCCCAAGGACAGATGTGTCCTTGTGCTGTGTGGCACATGTGGTACCTTGAGAGGAGGATGAGCTGATGGTGGGAGGGTGGGAGCGGAGCCTCAGGGGCTGGTGAGGTTCAGTCCTGCACTGCCTGGGCAATGGGGAGCCTGAGGCAGACAGGAGCTGCTCCCCACCACAAACACCTCATCCCATAGGGCCTGGAGCTCTTTGCCCTGAGGCCATGGGGAAGGAAAGGACAAGGCAGGATGTGGGCTCTGTCCCTGAGCTGCTCAGGAGCCGAGGGGTGAACATGAGGTCCTGGGGATGCTGAGGCTGCATTCCCACTTATGGGTCTTTCACTTCCAGGTGGTTATTGGGTGTCACATCCCAGGGGGAGGCTTGTTTCTGGATGAGACTAAAGGAATGTGACTGAGCTGAGCTCTTAGGCAGAAGCTCTTCCCTGTGAGGGTGCTGAGGCGCTGGCACAGGGTGCCCAGAGAAGCTGTGGCTGCCCCATCCCTGGCAGTGCTCAAGGCCAGGTTGGACACAGGGGCTTGGAGCAAGCTGCTCCAGTGGAAGGGGTCCCTGCCCGTGGCAGGGGTTGGAGCTGGATGGGGTTTAAGCTCCCTTCAGCACAAACCAGGCTGTGGCTCTGTGAATGCTGTGGTTGAGGAAGGACAGAACGGAACCACTCGAGATTGTTCTTTGATTCCTTTTTAGTTCATTTGGTGATAATAAAGCTGCTGTTTCAGTCCTACAATAGAAGATCCTGTGTGAAAAACCCATCAAAGCCCTTCTGTGCTCAGGCAGTGACTGCACGAGCTGCCTGAGCCAGACACTGAAGCACTGTGAGCCTGCAGCGGGGTGGGATGGGAGGTACCCTCTGCATCTCCCTATGGAGCTTTTTCCATCATAAATGGGTGAGGAACCTCCAGGTTCCCTCCTGCTTTGCAGCTCTGGGTTTGAGGCAGATGTGCTCCATGTGCTCCATCCCCATGGGTGAGTTGTTCTATCCCAACCAACACCACTGTCCTCAAGGCAGGGATGTGAATGGGCTCCAGTAGCATCCAAGCCAGCAGATAATCACAGAGGTGCCCTCAAACACTGCTGGTTTCTAACAACCATTCCCTTCCATAACAGCTGCTGGAGCCATTCCCAGTGGTATTCCTTTCCCAGAGGGTTTTCACTCTGTTCTCTCTTAACCTACTTCAGTGCTCGCAGTTGAATCTAAGCTAAGCTGAAGCTAAGCTTAGCTCAGAGTTGGGTTGCTCAGGACCCTGCCTGCAGATGCCTGTTTTCTACAGGGGGAACTTGGATGAGCTGTGAGACAGCAGCTCCTCCAGCTGGGGTTTTCTCTCCCAAAAATAGGAATTGCTTTGAAGCAGCGCGGGCTGCAGGGAACAGATTCACAGAGGCCCCTTTTGGAGCATTTCTAAACAGCTGAATGGGCTTTAATTGCAGTTTGCAGATTGAAAATGGGAAGTAATGAGCTTCAACTGCAGCCTGGAGAAGAGAAGGCTCCTGAAGGGGAGACCTGAGAGCAGCTCCAGTGCCTAAAGGGGCTGCAGGAAAGCTGGAGAGGGGCTTGGGACAAGGGCCTGTAGGGCCAGGCCAAGGGGAATGGCTTGAACCTGCCCGAGGGGAGACTGAGCTGAGCTCTTAGGCAGAAGCTCTTCCCTGTGAGGGTGCTGAGGCGCTGGCACAGGGTGCCCAGAGAAGCTGTGGCTGCCCCATCCCTGGCAGTGCTCAAGGCCAGGTTGGACACAGGGGCTTGGAGCAAGCTGCTCCAGTGGAAGGGGTCCCTGCCCATGGCAGGGGCTGGAATTGGATGGGATTTAAGGTCCCTTCCAACACAAACCATTCCATGAATAAAAGAAAGCCAGTGATGCTTGGGGGTGTCCAACTGAAGCCAGAAGGGGAATCTCAAGAGCTTTACTTCAAGGTGGTCTGGTTCGTTACCCTTACAGAGCTCATGAGCCATAATAACCCAGGATCGTGATGTGTTCCCCCCATTCAGCCCAGGCTGGGTGGTGGGAGATGGTGCCTGAGTCTCATCTGATGCAGGAAAGGCCTTTCCACCATCCCAGGGAGATGCACGTCTCTGGTCTGGCTTCCCTGGGTCTTCCTTTCTCTGACCATTAATTCCACCACTTGCTCATTCTAATACTGCACAACTCTTGTGTGGTTTTCATCTCCTTCCTCACACAGTGACCTCGTGGAGCACACCACTGATGCAAGGCAGAGCTGTTGAAGAGCTTTGGAGGTCTTGCTGGTGTCAGTCACGTTGAACGTGTGGTCTGGTACCATCAAATGTAGGATCAAATGTGCCTGGTCTCTGAAGCATGCATGGGGCACCCAGCAGTGGGTGTTCTGTGGATGTCCACCTGCATCTGGAGCAGCTGTTCAGTGCCTTCTAGAGCTGGAGGTGGATCATGGCCTGGATGAGGAGAGGCTGAGGGAGATGGGACTGTGCAGCCTGGAGAGAAGGCGGCTCAGGGAGACCTTGTCAGCATGGTCCAGTGTTTAAAACGTGGATACAAAGAAGATGGAGACTCCCTTTTGACAAAGATTCCCATAGAAAACACAAGGGGTGATGGGCACAAGTTACTGCTGGGGAGATTCCATCTGAGCACAAGAGGGAAAATGTTTCCCCATGAGAACAACAATTGGAATAATCTTCCCAGGGAAGTGGTGACTCCCCAGCATTGGACACCATTAGGACTGGGCTGCACAGAGTGCTGGGCCACAAATCTGGGTCATGCTGTGCCCGGAAAGGTTGGACCAGATGATCTTGAGGTCCCTTCCACTGGGATTGCAGGATTCCATGATGAACCTTTGCTTCGCAGAGAGAACAGCTTCTGCATGAAGCAGTTTTAAGCCTTTAATTTACCTGCAGAAGGGATTTTCCCCTCTTGCTCTCCTCATTCTTCAGCCTTCAGCCCTGCAGCTCCTACCAGCTGAGCCAGCATCATGCCCTCCGCTCTTTGCCCACTGGATAGGTCAAGTTTCACCTGGAGCCAGAGGGATGGAGACAACCTCAAAAGCAGGCACCATTGTGGGGCCAGAAAGCTCAACCTGTCATTAGTGAAAAGCTCTGTAATTAGAAAGCTGCTTTACAAAGCTCAGCTTGAAATGAGCCTGCAGCTAAGCCAAGTCTTGCACCTCTTGCAAAACCAGCCCCTGTCTAAAAGCAGGAGGGTTCTGGGTTAACTTCTGCTTTCCAAAGAGCTTTGCTCTTCTCTTTATGGTCAGGGTTTTGCTGAGCCATCAGCAGCACTTATTTACAGCTGG